TGGGGGGCGGTAGAGTGGGTGGGGGGGGGGACCAGGGGACACCCAGCGAGACCAGGGGACACCAAGAGAACTAGGGACACCGGAGGGACCAGGTGACACCGGGGGATGTTGGGGAGGGGGGGAACCAGGGGGACCAGGAGACATCGGGGGACACTAGGGAGACCTGGGGGACCGGTTGGGACCTGGCAGACTAGGGGACACCGGGGGACAGCAGCAGAGCTGGGGTCACCGGGGGACACCGGGGAGGAGGGACGGAAAGAGGAGGAGGAGAGGGGAGGAAACGCGCGAGTGCGGAGAGAGGGAGGGAGGAAGCGAGCGAAGGAAAGAGGGAGGGAGGAGACGGGAGGGAGGGGTGGAAAGGGGGACGGAGGAAAGAGAGAGCGGAAGGAGGGATGGAAAGAGGGAGGAGGGATGGAAAGAGGGAGGAGACAGGAGGGAGGGAGGGAGAAGAGACAGAGGGAGGAGGAAGGGAGAGAGGGAGAGATGGAGGAGGGAGGGAGAGAGGGAGGGAGGAAGAAAGGGAGAGAGGGAGGAGAGCGAGAGGAAGGAAGGAGGGAGGGAGAGAGGGAGGAGGGAGGGAGAGATGGAAGAGGGAGGGAGGGAGGAAGAAAGGGAGAGAGGGAGGAGAGCGAGAGGAAGGAAGGAGGGAGGGAGAGAGGGAGGAGGGAGGGAGAGATGGAAGAGGGAGGGAGGGAGGAAGAAAGGGAGAGAGGGAGGAGAGCGAGAGGAAGGAAGGAGGGAGGGAGAGAGGGAGGAGGGAGGGAGAGATGGAAGAGGGAGGGAGGGAGGAAGAAAGGGAGAGAGGGAGGAGAGCGAGAGGAAGGAAGGAGGGAGGGAGAGAGGGAGGAGGGAGGGAGAGATGGAAGAGGGAGGGAGGGAGGAAGAAAGGGAGAGAGGGAGGAGAGCGAGAGGAAGGAAGGAGGGAGGGAGAGAGGGAGGAGGGAGGGAGAGATGGAAGAGGGAGGGAGGGAGGAAGAAAGGGAGAGAGGGAGGAGAGCGAGAGGAAGGAAGGAGGGAGGGAGAGAGGGAGGAGGGAGGGAGAGATGGAAGAGGGAGGGAGGGAGGAAGAAAGGGAGAGAGGGAGGAGAGCGAGAGGAAGGAAGGAGGGAGGGAGAGAGGGAGGAGGGAGGGAGAGATGGAAGAGGGAGGGAGGGAGGAAGAAAGGGAGAGAGGGAGGAGAGCGAGAGGAAGGAAGGAGGGAGGGAGAGAGGGAGGAGGGAGGGAGAGATGGAAGAGGGAGGGAGGGAGGAAGAAAGGGAGAGAGGGAGGAGAGCGAGAGGAAGGAAGGAGGGAGGGAGAGAGGGAGGAGGGAGGGAGAGATGGAAGAGGGAGGGAGGGAGGAAGAAAGGGAGAGAGGGAGGAGAGCGAGAGGAAGGAAGGAGGGAGGGAGAGAGGGAGGAGGGAGGGAGAGATGGAAGAGGGAGGGAGGGAGGAAGAAAGGGAGAGAGGGAGGAGAGCGAGAGGAAGGAAGGAGGGAGGGAGAGAGGGAGGAGGGAGGGAGAGATGGAAGAGGGAGGGAGGGAGGAAGAAAGGGAGAGAGGGAGGAGAGCGAGAGGAAGGAAGGAGGGAGGGAGAGAGGGAGGAGGGAGGGAGAGATGGAAGAGGGAGGGAGGGAGGAAGAAAGGGAGAGAGGGAGGAGAGCGAGAGGAAGGAAGGAGGGAGGGAGAGAGGGAGGAGGGAGGGAGAGATGGAAGAGGGAGGGAGGGAGGAAGAAAGGGAGAGAGGGAGGAGAGCGAGAGGAAGGAAGGAGGGAGGGAGAGAGGGAGGAGGGAGGGAGAGATGGAAGAGGGAGGGAGGGAGGAAGAAAGGGAGAGAGGGAGGAGAGCGAGAGGAAGGAAGGAGGGAGGGAGAGAGGGAGGAGGGAGGGAGAGATGGAAGAGGGAGGGAGGGAGGAAGAAAGGGAGAGAGGGAGGAGAGCGAGAGGAAGGAAGGAGGGAGGGAGAGAGGGAGGAGGGAGGGAGAGATGGAAGAGGGAGGGAGGGAGGAAGAAAGGGAGAGAGGGAGGAGAGCGAGAGGAAGGAAGGAGGGAGGGAGAGAGGGAGGAGGGAGGGAGAGATGGAAGAGGGAGGGAGGGAGGAAGAAAGGGAGAGAGGGAGGAGAGCGAGAGGAAGGAAGGAGGGAGGGAGAGAGGGAGGAGGGAGGGAGAGATGGAAGAGGGAGGGAGGGAGGAAGAAAGGGAGAGAGGGAGGAGAGCGAGAGGAAGGAAGGAGGGAGGGAGAGAGGGAGGAGGGAGGGAGAGATGGAAGAGGGAGGGAGGGAGGAAGAAAGGGAGAGAGGGAGGAGAGCGAGAGGAAGGAAGGAGGGAGGGAGAGAGGGAGGAGGGAGGGAGAGATGGAAGAGGGAGGGAGGGAGGAAGAAAGGGAGAGAGGGAGGAGAGCGAGAGGAAGGAAGGAGGGAGGGAGAGAGGGAGGAGGGAGGGAGAGATGGAAGAGGGAGGGAGGGAGGAAGAAAGGGAGAGAGGGAGGAGAGCGAGAGGAAGGAAGGAGGGAGGGAGAGAGGGAGGAGGGAGGGAGAGATGGAAGAGGGAGGGAGGGAGGAAGAAAGGGAGAGAGGGAGGAGAGCGAGAGGAAGGAAGGAGGGAGGGAGAGAGGGAGGAGGGAGGGAGAGATGGAAGAGGGAGGGAGGGAGGAAGAAAGGGAGAGAGGGAGGAGAGCGAGAGGAAGGAAGGAGGGAGGGAGAGAGGGAGGAGGGAGGGAGAGATGGAAGAGGGAGGGAGGGAGGAAGAAAGGGAGAGAGGGAGGAGAGCGAGAGGAAGGAAGGAGGGAGGGAGAGAGGGAGGAGGGAGGGAGAGATGGAAGAGGGAGGGAGGGAGGAAGAAAGGGAGAGAGGGAGGAGAGCGAGAGGAAGGAAGGAGGGAGGGAGAGAGGGAGGAGGGAGGGAGAGATGGAAGAGGGAGGGAGGGAGGAAGAAAGGGAGAGAGGGGGACTAGGGGACATCGGGGGACACTGGGGGACGCCGGGGGGACCAAAGGACACTGAGGGGGACCAGGGGGACCAAGAGACAGTAGGGAGATGGGAGGACACTGGGGGACACCAGGACATCTAGGTGGAACAAAGGCCATTGGGGGACCAGGGGACGCTGGGAGACACCGGGAGAACTGGGGACACCACGGGACATCAGGGGGACAAAGGGGACCAAGAGACACCAGGGGACACTGGGAGATCTAGGGGGAACAAGGGGCACTGGGGGAACAAGGGGACCAAGAAACACCAGGGAGACCAGGGGACACCAGGGGAGGACACTGGGAGATCTAGGGGGAACAAGGGGCACTGGGGGAACAAGGGGACCAAGAAACACCAGGGAGACCAGGGGACACCAGGGGAGGACACTGGGAGATCTAGGGGGAACAAGGGGCACTGGGGGAACAAGGGGACCAAGAAACACCAGGGAGACCAGGGGACACCAGGGGAGGACACTGGGAGATCTAGGGGGAACAAGGGGCACTGGGGGAACAAGGGGACCAAGAAACACCAGGGAGACCAGGGGACACCAGGGGAGGACACTGGGAGATCTAGGGGGAACAAGGGGCACTGGGGGAACAAGGGGACCAAGAAACACCAGGGAGACCAGGGGACACCAGGGGAGGACACTGGGAGATCTAGGGGGAACAAGGGGCACTGGGGGAACAAGGGGACCAAGAAACACCAGGGAGACCAGGGGACACCAGGGGAGGACACTGGGAGATCTAGGGGGAACAAGGGGCACTGGGGGAACAAGGGGACCAAGAAACACCAGGGAGACCAGGGGACACCAGGGGAGGACACTGGGAGATCTAGGGGGAACAAGGGGCACTGGGGGAACAAGGGGACCAAGAAACACCAGGGAGACCAGGGGACACCAGGGGAGGACACTGGGAGATCTAGGGGGAACAAGGGGCACTGGGGGAACAAGGGGACCAAGAAACACCAGGGAGACCAGGGGACACCAGGGGAGGACACTGGGAGATCTAGGGGGAACAAGGGGCACTGGGGGAACAAGGGGACCAAGAAACACCAGGGAGACCAGGGGACACCAGGGGAGGACACTGGGAGATCTAGGGGGAACAAGGGGCACTGGGGGAACAAGGGGACCAAGAAACACCAGGGAGACCAGGGGACACCAGGGGAGGACACTGGGAGATCTAGGGGGAACAAGGGGCACTGGGGGAACAAGGGGACCAAGAAACACCAGGGAGACCAGGGGACACCAGGGGAGGACACTGGGAGATCTAGGGGGAACAAGGGGCACTGGGGGAACAAGGGGACCAAGAAACACCAGGGAGACCAGGGGACACCAGGGGAGGACACTGGGAGATCTAGGGGGAACAAGGGGCACTGGGGGAACAAGGGGACCAAGAAACACCAGGGAGACCAGGGGACACCAGGGGAGGACACTGGGAGATCTAGGGGGAACAAGGGGCACTGGGGGAACAAGGGGACCAAGAAACACCAGGGAGACCAGGGGACACCAGGGGAGGACACTGGGAGATCTAGGGGGAACAAGGGGCACTGGGGGAACAAGGGGACCAAGAAACACCAGGGAGACCAGGGGACACCAGGGGAGGACACTGGGAGATCTAGGGGGAACAAGGGGCACTGGGGGAACAAGGGGACCAAGAAACACCAGGGAGACCAGGGGACACCAGGGGAGGACACTGGGAGATCTAGGGGGAACAAGGGGCACTGGGGGAACAAGGGGACCAAGAAACACCAGGGAGACCAGGGGACACCAGGGGAGGACACTGGGAGATCTAGGGGGAACAAGGGGCACTGGGGGAACAAGGGGACCAAGAAACACCAGGGAGACCAGGGGACACCAGGGGAGGACACTGGGAGATCTAGGGGGAACAAGGGGCACTGGGGGAACAAGGGGACCAAGAAACACCAGGGAGACCAGGGGACACCAGGGGAGGACACTGGGAGATCTAGGGGGAACAAGGGGCACTGGGGGAACAAGGGGACCAAGAAACACCAGGGAGACCAGGGGACACCAGGGGAGGACACTGGGAGATCTAGGGGGAACAAGGGGCACTGGGGGAACAAGGGGACCAAGAAACACCAGGGAGACCAGGGGACACCAGGGGAGGACACTGGGAGATCTAGGGGGAACAAGGGGCACTGGGGGAACTCTCCCCGGGGGAGGGGGAAGCAGGAGCCCAGGATGCCTGGGGCATGTGCAAAGGTTTGTGCGAGCACTCGTGCGAGGGTGTGAGCGCTTGTGCGAGGGTCCGTGCGAGCCCTCGTGCGAGGGTGCGTGCGAACTCTCATGCGAGGGTCCGTGTGAGGGTGTGAGCCCTCGTGCAAGGGTCCGTGCGAGGGTGTGGGCGCTGGTGCGAGGGTCTGCGTGAGCCCTCGTGCCAGGCTCTGTGCGAGGGTGGGAGCCCTCGTGCCAGGGTGTGAGCGCTCGTGTGAGGGTCTGCATGTGCCCTTGTGCGAGGGTGCATGTGAGCTGTCATGCGGGGGGTCCGTGCAAGGGTGTGAGTGCCCGTGCAAGGGTCCGTGCGAGGGTGCGAGCCCTCGTGCAAGGGTCCGTGTGAGGGTGCGAGCCCTCGTGCGAGGGTCCATGCGAGCCCTCAGGCGAGAGTCCGTGCAAGGGTTTGAGCGCTTGTGCAAGGCTCCACGTGAGCCCTCGTGTGAGGGTGCGAGACCTTGTGCAAGGGTCCATGCAAGGGTGTGAGCGCTCGTGCGAGGGTCCGTGCGAGGGTGTCAGCCCTCGTGCGAGGCCCCACCCAAGCCGTGGGCGAGGGCCCAGGTAAACTCTGCGCGCGCCCCCGTGCCAGGCCCCGTGGGAGCCCCCGTGC